ATTTTGAAGTCTATCCGTTCTGTCATGGTATACTAATTCATTTAATTCATAATTATCGTAAGCACTTAAAGTATGGTTTTTTGATAATTGTACGAATAATAATTAATTTGTTTGTGAAAGCTAATCAGCTTATTGAAAATATTTTAATAATAAAAATATACATATTATAAGTATATTCAGTAGGTATTACATTACCAAGCGTAACAAAATTAGCATAAAAAAATTATTTTGTATACACTACCCTTGAAGTCGTCAAAACGCAGAAGTCAATATGAGAAACAATGAGAAGTATTTTTCCTTGACTTGTGAATAAACTTGGCATGATTTGAAATTTTGACGCTTAACTATTCATTGCACGTAGTTTTGCCACCATTGGGTGACTTCCCCCTCAATGGGTGTATAGAAAATGCTTATATAAATATTCAGTCAAAATGTCATGTACCTACGGTTATTTGTTTTTGAGTTGCACCAAAAACCAAAATCGATTTTTTCAAAAACAGATTTTGCTTACAAATTCCCGTTTTTCATTATTTTTTCTTTTGTTTTTCACGGTGATCTTGAAAACTACTGGAAAATTTTTACTTTTACCCCCCAAAATATCAACTATATTCACTTTCCTATCAGAAAAGATACTGTTGAAGAAAATCCAAGCATATTTACTGATGACAGACACACAAAAAAAAAATTAATTAATAAAAAAAAAAAGAACAACATCATTGCAAAATCAATACATTCATCGTTTCACTCAGAATCTAAAAAGCAGGTAAGTGGATGTTTCTTTGCTGTGCAGTAGGTTACAAGTGGGTCAATGTATAATGAATTATATTAAATTTGAATCTATCGATATATTATATCATTGTATTGGATAAACGATTCTGAGGGGAACGGTTTATCAGTCTGGATATTTTATATTGTTACAAGCTGATCCCGTGCACTTCGTTTCCCGTTAAATGTACCAATTCTATATGACTCAAACAATGTTCAATGCGTTATTTAATATTCGGTGTATGATGTTCTAGATTTATCTTAACTTTTCTGTTGCCCGGAATAAAAATTCTGAATTGCAGCAGTACATTATCAGATAGGTAATTTACCTGCGGTAGATCGCGGACCCCGTGCTGTTTGTACGTAAGTGTATGATTTAACTCAAAAAGTACCAAAGTTATACCAAGTTTGACGTTTTTACTTACTTCCACCTATAAATCCTAACCTAACCTAACCGTACTAAAATCCGATGAATAAAAAAAACCAAATTTAACCCTTTTTAAATTAGCGTATCTTCTTCCCATAGGTCATTCATTTATATATAAGATATATTTACAAAAAATAATAATACAAATCAACAAACATGCCCGATTAACCAATAGCAACCAATATAATATAATACACCATAGAGTAAATAAAGACAACGGTATCGAGTTCAAATCCCATACATCAATAAATAGTTTTTGCAGTTTTTCTAATTATTCGGTTGACTTTTTAAAAATGTTCTTTCGTAAAAACCTTCACCTGGCAATTACGAACATCTTAAAAAAAATTTGAGAAAAATCGTAGCCTGTAATTCGATTCAATATTATAATATTTTAATTTTTATTCGTTTCTATGGTGATAATCAATGCGTTAGAAATTTAAATCCCATTTTTTAGTGGTTTTTCGTAATTTGTAGGTAGTTTTTCCTGTGGCATTAAATAACTATTGAGAAAATCGAAAAATGACCTCTTTAAAGTCCAACTTGATCCAATTTAATAAAAGATAAGGTACTATATGTTGAAATCAAAGCAGTTTTTTTTCGAAAGCTTCAATGCTATCTGTGTTTGGAGTATAGAGACAAAAGCGGCGGTGGCAACTGATATTATACGAACGCGTTCCACACTCTCTGAAGCGTTGTCGAGGTCGGTGTTCGGGCGGCGGCGGCGGACTCCCGTGGCCGGAGGGCCGTTCGCGGGGGCCCACGTGTAGGCGTCGGACCGGCGTTTTTACCGACGGTGGAGGCCAACTAAACAGCAGTCCGTCTCCTCCACAACCGTCAGCCCACGCCGCCGCGGCACCGATGCGTTGGCGAAGGTTACACTAGCGGCCACCGCCGCCGCACGCATATTCTGCACCGTGGTCCGTGACGCCCGATGTACATTAAATTTGAGTAAACTCAAATTCAAAGTTTGGGGGGGGGGGCCAAAATCGTGTAGCCACTAGACTCCCCCATTGTCCGATCGACTTAAAAATACCTCCAATTAATTCAAAAATAATTGCAAATCGAGTTTCGCTAATTTCAAATCATTTTTGATATATTTTACGAATTTTGGATTTGTTTAGGTTCCTTCATGATATACATTGAATTAGTCATAGATTTAAGAGTTTATTAGATTAAATAACTAGAAATAAAAAGATATGCGTGGATATCTATATAAAACCTAAAGCCAAGATAATATTTTTTTGGATGGTCTTATGCATTATATTGTATTCAGTGTTTTTGAATTTATTGAATTAATTAATTGTATCCATTAATTATAGCAATAGCGTAGTAAAATACCAGTTGTAATTTAAAAATAAAATAATAAGAGGTAATATAAAAACTGTATTACTGATGCAAAACTATTGAGAATATATTATATATATTTATAAATTGAATTTATACTATATTAGAAATACGTATTTTAACACATATCTCAATTCGTGTATATAAGAAACAGCTAACTTACTAGGTACTTAACTAAAATGTTTCTATTTTTAACGAGCATGATCTTTAATGTTATACCTTTGCCTTGTGTTGTCTTTTAAATCATTCAATTATAATATTAGATATAAAGCCTGAATTAGTATTCGGTGATAGTAAAATACCTTCCATAATAACAATAAACTCTGGGAAGACACGATTAAGTTATTATTATTGCCCTTGTTATTTAAGTGTTTTGATTGTAATTTATATGCACGCATGTACCTATAATAATAGTTGATACTTTTTAATCACTTGTATAAACAAAAATTATTTATTTTTGTAACTCATTTTACACCTGTTATATAATATTATGCTTAAGTACATAATCTTGAAATATATTTATTACCTATATGTATATTTTTTTGGGGTAATACACTGGTACGTAATAAAAGTTGTATTATTATATGCCACGGCTGGTTTACCTATAAGTATTTCTTACTATCTGTAAAGAAAAATATTAAGTATAACATACCCTTTTTCTTTAAAAATAATTTTGATTTAATTTTAAATATCGTCGTTTAGTTTCTATATACACAAATTTTGGTATAACTATATTAACTAATGAACAATCCTGCAAGCAGGAATAATAATATAGCCATATAGGATTTATTCATATTCCAACTGTTAACGTTTCAATCGCTTCAACTTGTTTTCAAAATCTATCAACATACGTTTCAGAATAGCGATGAACTTTCGTAACTTTGTTATAACAAACATCGGGAAATTTGCGAGTTTCTCTTGACGCGGCGTCACGAATAGGCAATTCACGAGCGTCTACGTCTTGCGTGCAAAATACAGTATTTAGTAATCTCCCCCCACATTTGTGATGTTTTTTATGCTGCTGAATGCCGATATATTTTCATGTTCCGCGTGCTCATCACTATTATCATCAGATACGGCTGGAATCATTCTATAAACCGATGTCAAAAAATATTTCTTTGATTTGAATACACAACCGTCACACTACAAAAAGTAATTTTAACATTTTCTCCAAAAGTACTCCCCTTGGCCCTCAGGGTAACGAAGAAAATAGAATTATTCTGTTAGTAATATAATATCTATACATATTTTAAATATTATATACCCCTCAGCCTGCGTGCTCTATACAGGTCATCTGTACTGTAGGTATAGGTAGTGAATATATTATATTGTATAAAACACGGTTTATTTATTTATTATTTTCACAAAATAACAGTTATTGACTATTTAATTAACACAGGGTGATTCATTTAACTGGCTACACACATTTTTGGTAAATTGTTGTGTTTTGAAAAAACTAATAATTATAATTCATACTCCCTATATTATTATAAAAAAATAAAAAAGTAGATATAAATAAATAAATAAAGTTTAAATAATATAAATAAATAATAAATAATATATTTTTATAATTTAATGGTTTTATAACATTTTTTGTTCCAAAGATACTACAATTGACCTTAAAAATGTGTGTAACCTAATGTACTATGTTATTATTGGTTATGTGCATATACGGGGTGACATACCAAACTATTTCTGCAGTATACACTCAACCCATCGTCTGTACAAATAGTATACAAACAACTTGTTTATATATAATAATTCATATATACCCTCCATAACTGTCCTTAAAAACCAATACAATTAATTATTAATTAATTTCAGCAATGACAAGAGAGTTTAACCTGTGAAAAAAATACTGTAGGTACGTAAATGCGTCGAACAATTGACGTGCATTATAATATATAGCTGGAATCATTAATCGCACTTATCACGACACAGTAAGCTTTTAGGTATACTTAACGACCCGTGCATAAAAACGACACAATAATGGAACGGTGATATTTATATACAAAGAGAGTATGACAATAATACTATTCTAAAAATTATTTCATCGACAATAAAGCGGCAGTGGTGCGTTGATTTGTGTACTGATATAAGTCTGTGTATTTATACATTACAAACGTATTTCACGCATTATAAAGGCAGAACTTTTCAAATATTATAATACGCACACACAAATATTAAATTATGACTGTGAGCCTAATATGATATCTATTATAACATATAATATAATACAACACTCAGGGAAAGGATATTTGTCCAGTTTTACGACATGTCGATATTATTACATTACAGTACAATTTGTACCATTGATCTAATAAAAGTTATCGTGTTGTCATGTTTCTTTTCAGCAAATGTTCAAATAACATACTAGTTCGTTTTCGTGTCATTTATTTCATTTTATATGACATTTTGTTTTTTATTTTTATTTATAGAAAATGTTTTGGGCCATGTATCCGTCATGGTAGAACTTATCAATGGGGAAATGCCAATATTTAGTTCGTCTGGTGGAGGAGGATCGACAGATTTCGTTCGTGTTGGAATTGACTGTACGCTCAGCCCGTTGAAACCAACCACTGCTACAACGGGAACTCTACACAATCAACAACAACAACAGCAACCGCGCCAAAAGACGGCTATCAACGTCGAAGAAAACGCTCCCGAGGGATCGACGGCGGCGGCTATCAAGCGAGTGGTGTGCAGCCCGGATCTGCCGGTGTTCACCATAACGTCGGTGGTCGAAGAGGCAGCCGTGATCATCGACTCGGCTAAGACGGTGGCCGCGGTGGGTGCGGCCGAGCCAGCTGTACTTCCGTCATCTCACACGGCCACCACGGCGTCTGACAAGTCTTTGCAGTGCAACATGTGCCACAAGGTATTCATGCAGAAAAACGCTTTTCAAAATCACTTGCGATCTCACGTGAAGGACACGACGACGGAGGGCCCGTTTCAGTGCAACTACTGCAGCAAGTCGTTTACGGTACCAGCTCGGTTGACCCGGCACTACAGAACCCACACCGGTGAAAAACCGTACAAATGCGAGTATTGTGACAAACCGTTCTCGGTCAAAGAGAACCTGAGCGTGCATCGGCGTATCCACACCAAGGAGAGGCCGTATAAGTGTGACGTGTGTGAGTGGGCATTCGAGCACAGTGGAAAGTTGCGTAGACACATGCGCATACACACTGGTGAACGGCCGCACAAGTGTTCGTTCTGTGACAAGACGTTCACCCAGAGCGGCCAGCTGGACATTCACATACGCACACACACGGGTGAAAAACCGTACGTGTGCAAAACTTGCGACAAGGGGTTCACGTGCTCCAAGCAGCTCAAGGTGCACACACGCACGCACACAGGCGAGAAGCCGTACTCTTGTGACATATGTGGCAAGTCTTTCGGCTACAACCACGTGCTAAAGCTTCACCAGGTTTCGCATTATGGTGAGAAATTGTACAAGTGCACGATTTGCAATGGCACGTTCACGTCCAAGAAGACCATGGAGAGCCACATCAAGAGTCATTCGGACAACGGCGGAAGTGGAGCGGCTTCAGCCGCAGTGGCTACCACTAACGGTATCCAGGAGACCAGCAGTGCTGCTGCGGCTGCGGCCGCGGGTGCACTGGTCATCACTGTGCAGTCTTCATCCAAAAAAGAAGCGGCATCCGAGGGTGAGACTTCGTCGAGCTGTGGTAGCGATAAAGAGAACAACAAGTCGACAGTGGCTACGTCCGCTGCGGTATTGCTTCAGCTGTCTGATGAACCGAAACGCACCAACCTACTCCTGCACCAGTCCACAGCAGCGACGGCTTCTGTAGTAATGGTTCGGGAACACGACGGTAGTGGTGTTGGAAAATCCGATGATGAAGAAGACGACGGGGACGAAGAGGACGTTGAAGACGTGATGGTGATGGGTGGCGTAGATACTGAACTTAACAAGCTGTGTCAGTATTTGTATCCCAGGTTACCTGGCAGAAACCAAAAATATAGTGATTATGACGATGAATATAATTGTGACCAACCTCCAAGTCCAGCAAGTAACTCTTCTTTGAATCTAACCATGGACATATCACCGACACCAATGACTCCTCGACACCAATTTCAACAACAACAACAGCAGAAACAACTCCAACAACAGCAGCAGCAGCAGCAACAGTCGTTCCACACGATGCAGACGGCTGCAAAACAACAGCGACAGCAGCACGTGAATTACGTCATGATTATGGCTGCCGAAAATCGCGCAGTCGTATCGCCCGCCCTGTACACAGTCGTAGCCACCGCCGAAGACGAGACACTGGAGATGCCGCCTGTGGTGTCATTGACCACGGTGCCGTCGCCACCGCAACCCAACGATCGGGATCATTTGAGCCTGCCACCTCGGAAACGATCGAAAATGATACTCAAGTCGATGGAGATCACCGCCAAGAAAGAAGCTCAGTGCAGCCGATACAGTTCGGTAATACAGTACGCCAACAAAGCTTCAATTTAATCGTAAATGATCGTAGTACATAATATATTTAATAATATTATCATCACAATTTATTATTATTTTACTTATTTATAATATTACTATTATTATTATTGCGTATTAGAATAATTACTATAATAATAATTATTATGTGACTATCCCAAATCTTTATTTTTTCGCAACGTACGTACACATTATACAATAACGTGGAACTTTATTTGCCCAAATGATAATAGTCAAGTTTAATATTATTATTTTACGTCATTAGTGTTATAGAAAGGAAACATTTATTATTTTAGTATCTGTGATATGATATAATACCTACATTATTTAGCAAAATATTATAAGGTATGATTCACCTTACTGGCCACTGGCCGGGGGAACCACGTACAGGTATAGGGAGGGCTCCGATAAATGTTATCAAAAAACAGGATTATAAATATATATTTATATAATAATTATATAAATCTATATAATTATAATTATTTTCTACATTAGAACTAATTATATTATTTTTATTATTATTATTTATTTTTTTATCAAATATTTTGATTTTTCGTACGGTTTTCCCTTGGAAGTTCCTTTCGTAAATGCTGTTTACGCATTCTTTCTTTTTTATTTTATTCAATTTTAGTCTATATATTACTAATAATATAAAATTATATAGAATAATGAAATCATACGGGTAGTAGGTAGTTAATTACATCCTCTCGCTAGAAGAACAAAAAGTCTGTCGAGCAGTTTTTGCTATAATATAATTATTTTTAATATTAAATTGCATATTATTTAAACACTATTAAAGTGCAACAAGTTGTGTAGTTTCATTGTTTTTTTTCTTTTACTAGGTGCATAGGACTAAGTTTAGTAATTATTAACCTAATTAAAATAATACAAAACGGAAAATCATCTACCTCATTTGTATGCCTTATATATTAATTGCCTAGGTATAGTTAGAAATAAACAGTACAAATCATATTATCCTAAAGTGACGAAACTCACTGAGGACCAATTTATATTTAAATAATTATTATATTTATTGTGTGTGAAAATAATATACAAATAATTTACTGTAGACGTTCCATATTATTCCAACTTCAACGTCTCGAATTTTTCGGCACGTCGAACTTAATTGTAACTTTTTTATTTTGTTGGCCTTCGAGATTCTATCGAGTGTACTGTACTATAATAATTTAATTTAATTGTATACAATTTTTTGAATGTATATCAGCGTCAATCCTCAATATGTATAGAAATTATTTTTTATTATGTAAATACATTGACTGTCTTCGTATTTATGTATAATATACAATATTACAATAAGTACAATGTGTTATATAATAATATATAGATACGAAGTGTATGTAAATGTATTGATTTTGGATCTCTTAATATCTCTGTAAAACCTGTAGGAACGCATTAATACTATTCTACAAAGAAATGTGTTGCATTTAATGTTCTTACGATAAAATCATTGTTAATTAGTCCATACCTTTACAATGTTGATTATTACACATAAATATAGATCAATTATTATGTTTAGCGTTACGAGAATATTAAGTACGACCTAGAAACATCTGTGTTTTACGTATAAAAAGAGAGAGAAAAAAAATGCCGTAATTTTGAACAATTATACATTATATATTACATAATTATATATATACGTTGTAAACGTTATTATTAGGATAAAATAAACATTTATAAATATATAGCTTATATTTAAAAGACACTAATAATATAATTGTCGTTTAAGTAGTTTTTTAAAATATCTATAAGTTATAAATATTTATTTGTTTATGATTATTTTATTTTTTGCATTAATTTAACTTATTATTTATATCATGATACGGGTATAACTTGTTCAACTGATAGTGCAAATACATAATATATTTATATTGAACATTAATGTGACCTCGTTAGGAGTAATTGCTTTTTTTCATTCTTCTTAATTTGGTTTATCATTGTTTGAAAAAACAAAAAAAATTATTATCTTTATTATTTTTTATTATTATTAACTACTTAATGTAGTTAATATGAAAATCTTTTATCATTGTTTAAAACTTCTAAAACTATATATGTGTGTGTGTCTTCAAAATTCTGGAAACTTATGTTAATGTTATTATTTCATTACAATTACAGCCATTATAATTTATTTACTACCTATAGTTTAATGTTTAGTCTTTAGAAATACTCAATTTTAGTGTTTATAGAATAGTATAATATTCATTATTATTATTTTTAATTTGTTTTTTTCCTTCTGTTTTTGAATGTTTGAAATGGATTGTATTTTACATTGTACAGACTTTATTTGAAAATAAATATCAAATACCTACCTCATTAATATAAAAAAAATTATGTGTACTTTTTCAATTGAGTTTGAAGGTGCCCATTGAAGTCTCATCAAGCCGAAAGCTATCGAGGGAGACCTGCATGCACAAATCGCCGCTTTATAACGTGACCGAGACCGAGTTCCCATAGCTGAAAGTCTATTATTATTTTATCTCAACATTTTTGATAATTAGTTCTCGATACTCGCTCAAACGTAATCAGAAATACTAATTTTGGTAGCTCACGATGATTGCCACCACAACTGTGTTATTTAACCAAACTTTTAGGTAAGAACATTTTCTGTGCTTAAACGTTGGTAATTTATCAATATTCTAGTTTTTAAATGAGATATAAGCATTTTTAATTTGTAATATTTCATATAGGTACCAATAATATCTTATTTGAAAACTAAAATATTGAAAAATCTCCGACGCTTAAGAACACTGAACAGATGTTCTTACCTAAGAGTTTGATAATTGGTCAATTCACTCAATTAATACTAGTGAATGAAAATTTGCATACGTATGTAAGATGGAGACAACAAATGCATGGGTAGCGTTTACTTAACTATTTGTCTTATTAAAATAACTGTAAAACTGTTTTCTAAAAATATGAAAAATCAATAAAAAATATTTTATTACAATTAAATTAGTATAAATTATAATAATTTCATGGGAATAATATATACAATTTAATTAACATATTGATTCATTAATTTTATTTTTTTATTCCAGTTCAGTAATTTATTTAGAAAATAATTATTCATTACATTTTTACAGGCTTTTCATGTTTGCAATTGTAATGTCTTATTTACAAAATGCACATCCAATTTCACCACTATGGTCTACAGCATTTGGATAAAAATTTGAATTTCACAAATAAAAATAATCATTTGTATTTATTGGGGTTTACTTATAATATATTGATTGTTTTGTCAAAACTATAAAAAAAAAAATTTGTATTGTTAATATTATTTGAATAAAACTCTAATCCCAGACATTTAACTTATTATTTTTATATGCTATTTGCAATTATAACATAATATTATTAAAAAAAAAATTACTCTTGTATTATATCCAAGTTAATTAGAAACTACAATTGTTTCAGCCTCATGACTCCATATGAGTTAACTAATTCATACATATTTACAGCAATCTTCCTCTACAGTTTAGTGACTCACAATGACATTTCATCGTTTTTCCTGGAACACTTCCTATATCATACCTATAGTCCCGAGTTAGCTCTGTTCCAGCTGGTATATAACGGAGTGCAAAAAACGATAACCATGGGAACCTTAAGTCGTGCGTATCTACAAATACATATTGGACAAATGTATTTGGAGAACACGAATGGTTTAAATAACGTCCAATGTTGCCACTAGTTTTCGCATCAATGATATATGCACTCTCGTTGTTTCCAAAGTATTCACGCACTGATTTTGGAGGTTTAAGGTTGTTTTTCATATTACGTGCATTTAATTTGGACAAAACCTGCACTTGTCTACCATCTTTTTTCATTTTTGATTTATTGCGTTTGCACAATTTTAAAATCATTCCAGATCTTCTACCTAAGTAAAAACAAATGTTATATATATTGAATGAATTATAAATTATTATTAATTAATAATAAAAATTACCATCAGATGTACTAGGACAATGTTCATCAGACGATTCGGATTGATTTGTCTCAGTTTCATATTCATGGTCACTGTCAGGTACTTCACTTTCATAATCTTCTTTTATTTTTTCAACAACTTCAATATAGTTCAATTCTGCCAAATATTCCCATATTCCATAATTTTTCCCACGTTCAATAGCATCAGTTTCAGTTAACAAATAACCAACATAAACACATATGAAACTCCCTTGAGGTATATCATTCAAACATTGAACACCCCATCCTTTTTTCTCAGTCATGAATAATTGTAACTTTTGTGACACTGGGTTCTGTACCACACGATTTAAACACGAACTGGAACATTTACATGTCTTATTGCATTCATAAATACCTGTTAAAACTCCTTCAGGCAATCTCCTATAATTGTAACCAATATTTGGGTCTTTGAAAAGATTAGGTAAAATTTTCTGTCCCTTGATAGTCATCTGCCAACAAGCACATTTCGATTTATCTTGACAGTTGTCGGTGCAGTCACATCCACATAAGAATGTACTCTCTAGATTTATGTTAACACCTGGCCCTGGTTGTCTAGTAGTCATATAATCAATTTTTGGTGGTAATGTACCGTTAATAATGTTCACACATGGTATGCCCCTAAATTCCTGGCCCTCAGATATATCTTTTAAAAATTTCACACTTTTTATGACTTTATATTCTGCAAATGGTTTGACCCAACTATTAAAATCGAATTGGTCAATAGTCATTTCACTGTGGGTAGCAATAAGATATTCCAGCATCTGTTTCATGTTTCGAATAGTTACACCACACGGGGTTTTGTACAGGATACATTTTTTTGATTTATTATTACAGACTGTTTGAACCCTGTCGAAACCAAAATGTAATGGAATAATCAACATGTTGATACTACTAGTTTTCTGATAGTCATATTTTGTCCATGAAACACATGAAGAAGTACATTCGTGTTTGACAAATTTAATTGGATTAGGAACAGATTCATCCAATAGTAGGTCAACAACCTTAGTAGCATTGGCCTTATTTTTATTAAATTTTTGAGTTCC